GTGTACTGTACCCCGAGAAGTCTGACCTCCTGGGCTCCTGTGCATCCTCCCCAAGATCCCTAGGAGAGGGGCGAGCGTCTACAGACCTCCTGGAAGAGGTAACAAGCTGAGAGCTGGCTCGCCGGCGGAAAGATCGGGAAGACTCTGCCTGAGGTGGCGAAGGTGCCACGTCTGGAACTCTAACTGGAGAAGGAACAACAGCTCTGGTAGTAGTACAAGCCTCAGCATCCTTTCCTGTAACAAAAAAAAGGGAGAGAGAAGAGTCAAAATTATTAGATGCTAAAAAAAAAAATAATGAATGAGAGAAAGTAAGAAAGAGAAGGGGTAGAGAAGTACCTCTATCACCAGTAGCCTCTGGAGGACCCCGACGAGACCTCTGTCCCCTCGGCAACCCAAGCTCTCGTACTCGGCGCTCGTACCTCCTCGCGCCATGCTCCAAAGCAGGTCCAAAAGACTGTCGTACCCAGCACAGTCGTGTGTAACTCACCCCTGTAGGAGCAGACGGCTGGACCAAAAGAAAGCTAGAGCCCGTCCCCAACCTCAGCAAGTGTAACCAGGTCAGAGCTGCAGTGTAAAGTCGAGTCTCCACAGGAACAACATCCATGCGGAGCGTATCAACAACTCCTGGGACTGGCGGTCGTCCGTCGTAGGCTGTGGCCTGGTACAACCCAAACTGCCTGGCTACCCTATTGGGCTGATAGCCCTCCAAAACCACTGAGGCACCTACTCTGTAACACAACCAACCGGGCCGCAGGCTGATAAAGTACTCAGCAACTGAAAAACTCCTCAGTAGTAAAGTGCGCCTCCCCCTGTGGTCAACTCCATCCACAACAACAGTACCTCTCTGGTGAGGTGGTAAACCAACGGCCTCTGACTGGTGGACTAGCAAAAACCGGTCTGTGACTAACTGAGGAGCAAAAAAGAAGAGGCGAATCCTCCCAGACTCGAAGGTGGAGGATGCCTGAGACAACTGCAAAACTGTGGGGAACCCTCTCTGCAAGAAGTAAACTGGAGTCTCTAAACAGGAGAAAGCACCCCAAACGTGTAAGTGAACCCAGGCGTACAGGTACTGCCACGGTAAAACTGAATCCTGTGCCTCTAAAGAGCTAGCCTCAGACAGGGTCCGTAGAATCCTGTACACTCTAGCGAGAACAGCAGGAGCTAAGGCGAGTCTCTGTCCATGTGCTAACTGGCTGGCTGCCAACAAAACACTGTACCTCAAGGAACCTGCCCGGAGCGGGAGTACGAAAGTACTGAGCCAGAGAGCTAAGAAACCGGTCAAGAGTAAACTCTCGTCAATCCCTGACAAAGCTGGAGAAGTACAGCTAACTAAAAAAGAAGGCTCCGTTGTCTCCTCTGACAATGGAGCACCACGCTGTAAACCGAAGCCAAACGGGTCGTGCAGTGACGCCGTAACAGGAGACAAGTACCCCTCCTGGAGAAAACTACGGATCCAGACGTCCACAGGCATGGAAGCCCTAGCACGCCTCGACAAGTGTGAAGCTCTGAAGGTCCGTCGATAGTGCTCTAAGACTGTAGGGTAGACGTCTGGCAGTAGCAGTCTTCCTCTCCTATCACCATCTACTGAAGGGATCCGCCGAAATAACTGCTCGTCTGGAGGGAGACACTCCTCAAAGCGGTGATCAAAAACTGGCAGTCCCGAAACTATCTGAAGGTCTGAGAGCGTCACGGTGAGCTCCTCTGCTCCGACCCAAA